CCAGGAGTTTGATGCCACAAGTGATCAGAGGTGTTGGGAGGATTTTATGTCAGGTGACTGGGCCTGGGACAAAGCAGTATGTACTGGGTTTGTCTCGATGTAGGTCCTACCAATCTCATACTTCTAGGACAAGATTATCAGCAGTAACCCATTGGCAGCCAGAGCAACATTGGTTCCCATCATCCTTGGCAGTGACAAGACCACTGTTTCTGTTGCAACTGGGCAAATGGATTACTACCTGCTGTCACACACCAAAGGTGTTTGGTGAGGTGGACATGGATACAGCTGATGAATGGAGATGAAGACCATAGCCCTCATGTGAAGAAGGACAGCCAGGAATGTCAGCAGTCATCCCTCACACAAGAACAAGTCATCAGTGCCAGCGAACAAGAAAGGGAGTGAGTTAAGTGCTGGCTAAAATTCTTAAGTGCCTGTGTACAGCATTCTGGTTTTTGACATATCTCTGCCATTTCTGCAGATACTGAGACCATTCCCACACTTGCTTGTAGTGCTCAGCCACGCAATCTTACCTTCCAAAATTGGAAAGGATTTGCACACTCCACACATTTCTACAGCACTCCCTCCAAAAGATGCTCATTTTGCTAAATTCTTCTGATATGGCCACCTCTACATCAATCATTTTGCTTGTCCCCTTTGCTAGGGACCATGGCTACATATATCTACCAGGAGTTCCTACCAGCTTCCATCCTGAAGCATCCTGGTACATCCCACCCTTGTCTGTGCCCTCTCAGCCCATCCAGCTTGGACAGCATGTTCTTTTTGTCAGTATGACCTCTAGGAGGATGTTCTTTGGTCGCCTCAGGTCTGTCATTTGCTTGGAAAGGTCTTATGTGGTCATTTCAGTCTCTCCAGTCCAAGAAGCATATGGATCCTTCCTCCCTGCTCCCTGCAATGTCTTCATACTGGTCTTGTCCATCATTCTTCCAAGATTGTGACAGCTACAGTATAATCTACTGTTCTCCACTCTCCCGATTGCATCCATGATGAGTATGATGTACATCTTGCCTCCTTGTTGCAAGATACAGCAGAAGACACTCCCCCTTCATCCTCTCTTCCAACAGAGCCTCATTCATGAAGTTTTTATTTGCTTCACTGAGAGGATGGTTTGGGGGGGAAGGCTGCAATCCCCTATGCTCCTGTCACCCCACAGACCCCCAAAGCTGGACCCCTGTTGACATCTGACTCACCCTGTCCACTTTTGGATGTACTATATCAGCATCAGATCAGCGCTGCCTCTCTGTCATCCCACCTTGGCCTAGAAGCAATCTCTTTGAGATGTGACATGCACAGCCTCCCCCTAATGTGATTCCAGTGCACTTTCCCAGTTCCTGACATCACTTGACTCATACTTTGACATTCTGACTGTCTTTGACTCACCTATTGCCAATACTTACCAATCTTTTGACTTTGCTTACTGATTCTTCACTTTTTGGCTTGCTAATCCCTTACCAATGCTTACCAATGCTTTCCAAGATGATTACCCATCACTTACATTCCTTACTCATCAGTTACCAATCACTTACCAAGTGTTTGCCACCTTGTTTTCCAAGGGCAACACCCCTGTACTGTATATAAATCACTGTACTTAGATAGAAAAAAAAAAGAAGACATCAGAGAGCCCCTCTTGCTTGCATTTTATCATCACTCAGTAATTCATTCAGCAGCTTCAATAGTTGAGACTTTATTAAGGGTCTAACTATCATCTACTTTGCTTATCCTTGTCTATCATCAATATACTTCACTCCAAGCCCTCCCTGAGCTTGGTGCAGCTTAGGACATTGAATTAAGCCACCATCCATCCTTCTGTAGGCTGACAGCAGTCTACCCTATTGCTTTCTATTGCATTCTTGCTCCCTCTTTGTCAGGAGCACCCCCACCCCTCAGCACTCGTCCTTGAGTGTTGTAGCTTGCAAAAAACCACCCAAATCAAAGGTTCTACCATCGAGGTACTGCATAGGCACACCACCACTCGCTCTTTTTGTCTTTTGTGTTGGTTTTGGTTGGTTTTCACCACTGAACCACACTTTGACTCACAACAGGGGCCTTCATTCCTCCACAGAGAGGAACAACATATATGTTTGTGACACATGCCATGGAGGCCACTCACATCACTGGGTGCATAGAACATTGAGGATGCAGAGTTGTAAACACAGACAGATCCATCATAAAAGGGATATTCACCCAAGGGGACATCTTCTGGATCATGATTGTCATGCTGAAGCTGCAATTGAAGAAAATGGCACAAGATATTGAGGAGCTGGGGTATGTTGAGTTCAGTTGCTAGGTCCCTCATATTCCTCACACACATACATTCTATGATCAACAGATTAGAATTCATATGCATGAAGCTATGAGCAAAGGCATATGGTAGGTCCAGGCCAACAATACATGGACCTCAACTGACATAGGAGAGTCATCCATATCACCTGCATCTTCTTCAAAACTTGCTGTGGGTTCATCAGCACTGTCTTCACAGTCCTGATTGTTTGATATGTCATGGTCAGTCTCATTATGAGTCTCATTACAATATTGTTCTAGAATACAGTCAGCATCAAGAACAATGTCTAAGAAAAATGCTCAACCTAGAGTTCCAAGCACATGTGACAGGCAAGTCCCTCTCAACATGCCACATTTTTCAAAGTCTGCACATGCTGCAGCAAATTTGTCAAGCCTCTGGTTGATTGCAAGCATCTGTCTGAGAGCCTGAAAGCAGTTAGTATGCTGATAAGGTCACTTGACTGCTTTGATATGCTTGGACTCAGTAATTGATGAACAGAGCCCATTCAGTGTGCTGAACTGGTGTATAAGATAGGGATAATGCTTCATAGCATGTTGCCAGGGTTATGAAAATGTAGTGATTACTTGGGCATTCTGGAAGACTTCACAATACAAGTGGAAGTGTGCAAGTGCATCCTCAATCATGGTAAGCATTGGTTTGGTGATAACATTTTGGTGGACAAGGTAGCAAAACTCAAGAAAGGCATGAAATGTGTGGATGACATCCTCTGGGACATAGCCTTCAATGGCTGCAATATATACCTGTAGAGGACCAGTCAATCATCATACACCATTTAAAAAGGATTAGAGAACCTTCATGAGGCCTTTGGAGTCATCACCAGTCCATTGTTTAAAGTGTCAGCCTTGAGGGAAACATTGCAGCCCAGTAAACAGGGTGACAGCTGCGATCCTGGAAATCAATGAGGTCAGTCAGTGCATGATAACAGAGGTCAGCCAACACACCTTCAATCAATATTGTCCAGTATTTTTTCTGCAGCACCCTTTCCATGAATATGGATGAGATACCTTTCCACCCAGTCAACCAGGTGATCTTTGAATCCACCCTTGATGAGTTGATGAAGAATGTCCAGAGAAAGCATTCTCTGGATGTCTGCGCATGGAAACCCACTTGTAAATGGCTGTTCTCGATCAGTCATGAAAAAAGAAGCAAGTATATTGTACATACCACTATATCTCTGTCAATTCCATACCCTTCCCAAAGTGTCTGAGGGTCCAACTCCCTGATGATCAATTCAGTGTGCTTGCAGTGATGCCAGAGTGCATCTTTGTCAAGGTTCTCCCAGTGTGTGAGACATTTCAGACACCAATTACACATGATGCACAACAAGAGGACCTGTTCTTCATAGTCAGCTATGTAAGCTGTGAGTGCATAGATGACATGTCGGTAGTACTGATCACTGAATAGTACTGTTTCTGGAACTGTCATTGCAGGACCAAGTGACCAAAGAACATGTGCCAGTGATGAATGAAAGAGCTGCTTCTTGAATTTACAGAACACTTGTGTATTAGCATGCTCCCTAGTCACTATTGGGCTATCAGCAGTGGTACAAAGTAATAGAATTTGAAGTGCTTACTCTTCAGCATTGCAAGGAATCCAATGAGCACTACTGCATCGCATTGTGCACATTTCCAATGGAAAAATAGATTGGGTAGTAATCCATTTGCCTAGTTGCAACAGAAACAGTGGTCTTGTCACTGCCAAGGATGATGGGAACCAATGTTGCTCTGGCTGCCAATGGGTTACTGCTGATAATCTTGTCCTAGAAGTATGAGATTGGTAGGACCTACATCGAGACAAACCCAGTACATACTGCTTTGTCCCAGGCCCAGTCACCTGACATAAAATCCTCCCAACACCTCTGATCACTTGTGGCATCAAACTCCTGGTATGGCATGAAGTCCATTTGATCCTTAAAGTCAGTGCAACCAAGGAGGTTGTGGATAACTCAACAGGGGTCTCAATACCATACATCATAGATGTCAAACATCCAAGGGGCCTTGGGTTCATCTTGGCCATCTTGGCCATCCTGACCATCCTGACTGCCCAGTTCAATCACTTCATCCTGTTCATCTGGTTCATCCTGTACATCCTGCTTGCACTTGTAAGTGATTTTGAAGTTTTCCCACTTGACTGCACCAACAGACATGCTGTCTATCACATGATAGAGGTCTGTGTGGTTGGTGAATAGTGGATTGCTGCCTAACTCAAGCAACAAGGTAGCCCAGATTTCAAGCAATGTGTCCATTTGGTTCACTGGCATTTCTGCATGTTTGAAAAGAAACTTGGCAAGTTCAAATTCTAATCAATTGTGGTATGGAGCCCAATCATCCAGTGATCCCTGTATATGAAGTGGCAGTGGAGCATCATCTGGTAGAAAATGGCCCTGGGAGTCACACCTTCATGCTGTAATAAATTGTATGAGTAGAGGTAGGATAATGTGTGCATAGGCTTACCATTAAGACCTGCATGATAATTGTGGTAAACCTTGTTGCCAGGACCAATGAATTTTGCAATCATTCCATCTGGTTCCTGATCCAATGTTGTGCTGCAGTTGAAGTCATGTGGACCATCATCATAATCTAGAATGTGTTTGGCTACTGGGGGTATGGCATTTAAACTGTGGTGCTGTTTGGAGTAACCCTGGGACCCTTGAAAGCGGTCAAGGTGCAGATGGCTGTGCTTGTGCTGAGTGAGCCCTGCCTGGTTTTTGAACCAACAGTTGCAGCCTGGCATGTCACAAGGAAGACAGAGAGTGCTGAATTTTGTCTGTTGAGAGCTTCAGGTGCTGCCTCTGCATGGCAACATTTTGATGGTAAATGAACACATTTAGGGACCCTTGCATGATTAGTAAATGGTCAGAAACCTAAGTTAGGTGGAACTTTGTGTATTTGTTTGCAAGGAAAGAGACTCTGTAGTGCATTTGTTTGCAAGGAAATTTTCTTGCATAAAAAATGACAGGTTCAAACTCACCTTGTGCTGTCTTCATCTCCACCCATGCACAACAAGTATTATGTCAGCTTCTTCTAATATTTGACCACAACAAGAAAAGGCCAACCTGCATCCAGGGAGGATCATTCTCAAAGCACAGACTCAATGGCATACCCCAGCCCAGAAGAAGGCTGATGACTTGTGCATGCAGGAAGCTATTGATGCTCAGTGGCTGCTATCCAGCAGGCTCATGCCTGAGTCAGGGAGATGGAGACTGCCATGGAGGTCAGGCAGGTTATCCAAGGCACTGCCAAAGTGAAGCCAGTCAGACTGAGACAGGTGCCTGCCAGTAGAGATCCTGGCCAGGAAATTGGCCCTCCTGTTGTGATGGAGACCAGACAGGCAATCCAAGTTGCTGCTAAAGCGAAGTCAGTCAGACCAAGACAGGGGCCTGTCAGCCTTCAAGGAAAACCAGGAAATATAGTCATCCAACCTTGTGGTGAAGGTGAGGATGTTTTGGTTATGTCATCCAATCACAGACACTGATAAGATATCAGCTGAAGTTGCTGATATGGAAGTCAACACTCACCAGGTAACTGCTCCTGCTATTGTGGACTATACAAGCAACAAGCCACAGAGTGGGAGAACAGCTAGCCACATGCTGAGAAGGCAAGGTGCAGTTGCTGACATTGATCTGCTGGCAAATGTGGCATCAACATGTGGATCCAATGAAACCTCCCAGCAGACATACATTCTTATTTTCAACTGTTTGATGCCAGATGCTGCTACTTACTGAGTCAACTTTGTTTTGGCTGAACCTCACCTGGAATGCTCTCAGTACCTGAGACAACCCAAACACCAACTTGGACTGCCAGGTCCATCATTGGGTCAAGGACATCCCAACTAGGCTGATGCCACGATCCAACAGACTACCAACTTCTGTCCCTTCTTTGACAAGTGGAGCTACTACCACTGTCAACTCCAATACAAGCCTAGCATACCAGGTACATGCTACATTATCAAGTAGGATCAGTCATCTTCAACATCTTCAATCAGGGAAAGATGCCTGTGCCAACCCACTGCATGGATGAAGAGGAATTAGAAGACCAACCAGCTTTCTCTGTCAAGGTTGTAGGTCATGAAAAATTCAAGGTATGTCTCTTGATGCAAATTGACCATTGCATTATATTGCTTTTAGGTAGTCATGAGCATGGCTAACGATATAGAGAGCAACAATGAATTCAATCAGCTCATTTTTGCAGAGGTGCAGACCAGCTCAAAGCACAAGTATTCAGATCATGACAATGCTGACTATGTTACCTCATCCAAGGTTGAGGACTTCGATGATGAATACTTTGACATTGAGGATCACAATTTGAAGTCTTGTATGTTGCCTGCTAAGGAATTGTGTGTTGTGATGGTACATTTTTTTATCTATTTGAACTGTACATTAACTCTTTTGGAGTCACAGACCGATAATGGAGTAGATGAACCAAAGAAATCAAAGGTTGACAGGGATGTGGACCAAGAATCAGGACAGAGGAGCACTACAGCAAGTCAAGCACCTTCAATGAGGACCACAGGCAAGGCCAGCAAACACTCTTGTTACTGAAGCCAAGATCTGCCTTCTGTGCTGATGATGGGCAAGATGTGGGTGAAAGAAATTATGCCTGCTTTCCTTGTGTGCACTGGAAGCTTAGCTGACCCTTGGACAATCTCAGATGAAGAACTCATACAGTCACTGCGAATCATTATCCTGACCATTGCTCCAGACTTTGAGGACCTGAATGACATTTGTCCTGGGATGGCAGTCTTTAATATTGTATTGTTAGTATTATTTACCTTGCTACTTGACTCATGCTTCCTTGGACAGGCATGTCAATGACTCTGCCAGTGGCACAGCAACTTTGGATCCACTGCAATCACTCTTATCACTCACTTCCTTGTCTCAGATCCAGAAATTGGCATGCTGTCTCTTACTCAGGCCCAGGAACTCTGTTCTAAGCTGTTGGAAGGCTTCGCATTTTTATATTCAGACCAAGATTCTCACAAACCAGAGAACATTTTCCAGT